TTTGGTTCAGGGTAGTATCTAGTCGAGCACTCTCGACTAGAGTTTTCTTACTTGTTATCTCTCATTCTGTCCCTGTCCATATTTTCATATCTGTCTATCTCTTTACTCTTATCTCTCTGTCTCTCTTTGTTAATATATCACTCTATCGGTATCTATCTGTGTATGTGCTCTTTCTATCTTTCTCTGTTTTACTCTCTAGCAATAGCTAATCTCTGTAAAAGATTAATTTGTAGCATTAGCTTGATGTGGTTATTAAAAGATGTTCAAGAGAAATAAGGAACAAATAAACTAATTAAATAAATAAGAAAACCTCAACTCCTCAACTGTTCGATACAGCATTCCAAACACCTGTCAACAATTTCGACAATTACTTCAAGTGCCCATCCAAGACACACCCAACTGGGGCTAGTGCTATAGACTTGATCTACATTTGGTAATGGGCTCAATTTTAGTGACTCGTATCTCGTGTTTCGTTTCCCGTTTTATATATTCAGTTAATGCAGCACTTGTGGCTGAGGATGTGGCTAGCAATTACTTGCAACTAACTAACAACTACATAAATGACATAGTTTTTGAGGCAACTCGGGAATAGGCTTGGCTGCAACATGACAACATAATTTGAAACACAGAGTTTTACTGGGGAGCCAGCAACTCCTGGCAGTTGGGGCGAGTCTTTGCTCGCTTTAAGTCGACGTGCCAATCATAAAAGTTGGTAAAATGTTACGCGTTTTTAATGATGAGCTACGGAAGTGGAGACCCAGACTTCGTAATGGCCAAATAACGGGGCAGCCGGGGTGGCTCGAGTTTGGGTTTGCGTGTCTCAGGTTCGTTTATCAAGCGCGAATTCAATAAAGCCCGCACCCACATCACCCCAGAGCAGACAGCGTCCAGACGCTTTGTCTGGCTCGCGTCTTGGCACTCACCGCCTTAAAGTAGGGCTGCTTCACGTGGAAGTTAAAGTGCGGCTGGCGCTCCTGCAGCTGCGGCCCATTGTCGTTGCGATCCAGCAGCGTTATATTGTAGCTGCGCCAAAACTGTCGCTGCTCCCAGCCGGATAGCTTCACCGTGCAGCCCACCGTGGCCAGCAGTTGGCCGGCTCGCGCCTGCAGCCCGTTCAGCTCGTCGTGGTCGAGCGGCTGGCGGCTGTACAAGCGATTCTGTTTGAGCACAAAGTGGGAGCTGCCCGCTGTCAGGGCGTACTCCACAGTGCGATGGGGACACAGATATTTGGCAGCTCTCGAGTTCAGGGCGCCAATCAGCACGGGCTCAAAGCTGCGACTGCGGCTGCTGCTGCTGCGGCTCGACTCGGCAATCGCATAATCGGCGCTCGTCCAGAAGCAAATGTGCTCCAGCTCGGCACAGTAGTCACTCAGGTTTTGCGGCTGCAGCTCCAGCGTGAGGTGGGCCACCTGCTGCAGCAGCTGCTCCGGCTGCTCCATGGCTGCACGTTCCTCCTGGCTGCGCGGAAAGGCGGTCAGCACATATTTCACACTCTCATTGAGCATTTGATAGTCGCTGCGCATGAAAACCTCGCCGGAGCTGGAATTGAGGCGCAGCAGCGGATTCTGCTCCAGATTGTAGACATAGTCCGTCGCCGGCTGATTGTTGTCCAGGCGCAGCACTTGAAACTGCGCCAAGGGTATCTTCGAGAAGATGCTCTCCGACTCCTCATTGATGGGCAGCTTGAATTTCACGGAAGTGGTGGGAAAATAAACATCGAGGGCTGAGAAAAAGGCAACAAAAGAAGTGAAAAAGAGACAAATATTAGAAGAAATCTGCTGATTGAGTGCACTCAGAGAAAATGCGAGGAAGTAAATCTATGAATAAAATATTTTGCAAAAATTTATATTAATAAATTATTAAATGAATTTTCGAACCAACATTCTCTAAGTCGAATTTTAGTCAGAAATATCTCAACTTCATCGCTATACAAAACTTTAATTTAATTTCTGAGTGCAAATAAATTCTCAAATTGATTTCAGTGATATATTTTCTATATGAGCTTTTCTTCTATTTTTATATAATTGAATATTATTATTATTTAATAATTTATTTGCACTCTCACTGAAATTTAACTTTTATTCCCATTTCACTTTCATTTGTCTATTGCAAAACATTTCTCGCAGTGCTCCAAGTCCTGTGATTGGGTCAAACAAATGAATTGTGCTCAGAGTGTGTCGTCCATAAGTGGTATTTAACTAGGGGTCGCTCCGGCACAGTCACAAACACAGCCACAGTCACAGCGCCCCCTTCCCCCTAGCACTCATCAAGTGCAACCCCCGCTTTATTTGCGTTGGGCTCACCCCATTGGGAAACCCATCAAAAGATTTCGAGTATTTACCCATTATGCTCATCAACAGACTCATAAAAATTATGAATGTAGTTTAATAAGCTCGCTCTGACCTCAATTTGAGTGGATCCAAATGCAGCAGGAGGCAGAGCAAGGCTTTAAAAGAATCCAGCCCGATTCAATGCGCACAACACGTCGTATGCGTAATTTGATAAGATTTCGCTTGCTAATGACGCGCTTTGCTGTTGCTATTGTTGTTGCTGTTGTTGTTGTTGTTGTTGTTGATATTATTGTTTGGTCGTGTGCTTGCATACGCTCAACTCCAATACAAGCCATAAATAAATATAATACACAGATATTAGTTATTAGCATATGGGTTATCGAGGCGTACCCACACAACAATCGCCCTCAACCCCTCCCCTCCGCCCGTGGCTAGTGTCCGCGTCATCGCGTATTGATTTTATGATAACAGCCACAGAAGATAAACAAACAAACAAACATTATAGATGAACAAAAAACTACATAATTTGGCTAGCGGAAAAATACAATGCAATGCCTAATTGGTAACAAAGGTTTAGTTCAAATAGAATTTGGGGCAATTTGTGGGGGAGGGGAGGTACTCATGTGAAGGGTAAACGCACGTAAGGGGCGTGAAATGGGAACTGTAAATGATATGAAAAGTGTAATAAATTAATAAAATCTATGAGACATTTCCTCACACGCTTCCCCTCCTCCACGAATTTCGATTTGTGACCTCCTTTTACATATTCCCATCTCTCAATAAATATCAAACTCTCAAGTACGTAATATATATATTTGCAGCTCCTTTGATTACTCTTAGTCCAGCTCCAAGCACTTTGTCATGGTCCCGCACTGGCGCCATCTTATGCTCAGCATTTGGTATTATGTCAACACACATACCCCCTCTCCACTCTCAACTACTTTCGCACATAATTCGATTCGTTTTTCTCCCTCTTCCATTCCAATAAAAAAGTATAAATGCTGGCTGAATTAATTTGGATTCGTTTACCCTCTTTAAAGAGCTCCAAGGACGCGCATACAAAAAATAGTAAGTGGCGTCAGGGCTCCCCCTAGCCCCTTGAAATGTCATTAGAAATGCCTGTCTGTCAGTTGTCGCTGCTCCAACATAACACACGCGACGCATCTACATATTTCATCAGCATATTTCGCATGCCTGAGCGCCAGAGCAATTGTAATGAATACGTTCATAATTTATCACACTCATATACATACATGGCAAGCGACAGCAGTATGCGGGAACTCTCCGAGTTTACCAGGGTGTGAGCGCATGATTATATATTTAGTGGATTTGCTATGTGGTAGCTGCATAGCTTTGGTTTGAGTAGTGCCCTAGCAGAGAGTGTGTGAGGTTTCAAATGGGATAAACACTAGATATGCACAAGATATGCCCTATAGATGCTCAGAGAGAGGGAGAAAGAGATAGAGAGAGAGAGAGAGAGAGAGAGAGAGAGAGAGAGAGAGAGAG